AACTTATATTAATGCAGCTTTATTTAAAAATTCAAAGTTGTCACCATTTCATGCTCTGTCAGTTATATTTTTCTCCTTATTTTTTTCTGGGTATATTTATAGAATATTTTTATTGACTTTGCTTCCTGAGCTAGCACTGTATCTTTGCTTTTGTGACCTAATTTATTGATGTTGCATTCACTCAGGCATCTTTCCTGTTAATATCCCATCTCTTCCAGGTCTTTCTTATCTTTAGTTCCTTCCGTGACCTTTTTTTCTGTTCTATATCTTCTATTGATTTTTATGTTGTATTAATATTCATTTTTTCCTCTTGAGTATTTGTAAGTATTGTGTGTATGTTCCCTTGTTCTTTTTTCTTTCTTTTGTTTTCTTTTGTTTCCAAAATTTCATTTTATACCAGTACACAATTTTCTTCTAAGATTCCCTATTTCCTATTTATGATGTATGACTGAGTACATATATAAATCACATTTTACAGTTTTTGTTCTATGAGCTTAACACAGAAACATGGGAATTTACATTCCAAAAGCTGTGTTCAATGGAACATTTAGCCCATTATGCTATCTGGCAGTGACCACTACAAGATGATTAAAAGAAAGATTTAAAGATCTTGATAGTGAACAGTTTTGAGAATAACTTCCACAAGGGAAGTTTCTTTGTAACACCGATCAATTAATAAATAATCATTTTCTTCATCCATCCCTGGATACCTTTCCATTTCTCTCTCTCATTAGAGATACAGGGACTACTATATATGTCTACTGTTATACACAGTATAGACATCCTTGGCTTGATTACAATTGCTTTAAGTCCCTTTGGCAGTGAAATGGAGCTACCTCTTGTTGTTGTTACTTGAAGGGAAAACAAAAACAACTGAGGATGTAATGAATATGATATTGAACTTAGCACAATTGCCAGTGACATCACGATAAATTAATACATATATGCAACTTTGTGTTTATTTGGGGGGCGGTCCCTTCCTTATCTTATGTTTATTTTTTTTTCAGATTTTTCTTTTGCCTTAAAAAATTATAGGAATGAAGGATTAAAATGTCCTGTGTTTGTACACAGCTTACCACAGTGGGTTGCTAATCATCCTGGCCAATAATTTCTATTATAATATCGCTGCAATATAATTATAATTGCAAAAAAAATTAAAAATATTATACAGGTGTATGTAGAATAGGTAAATTCTTGCATCGTTAATGTATCCAGGTAGCACTAATTCTTACTGTATTCTCAGTTTTGGCATTGACATTGTTGCTCTTTCCATGCTGGAGGTTTGTTAGATCTTCATTTTTTTTTTTTTTACTGCTTGAAGATATATCAGCAGGGATCCTGGTTTTCTCTGATTAAAAAAAAAAAAAAACCCCAAATTTTGGATATTAAAAAAACCCACCCAAATCCATATTTCTCCATGATCAAATGAAAAACCACACATATATAAATCTACATCAGTATCTATATATTAGTAGTGATTAGTGGTGTTTCATTTTAATCATGGAAAATATGGATTTGGGGTTACTTTTTTAAATTAAAAAATTGGGATTTTTTTTAAATCAGAGAAAACCAGGGTCCCTGAATATCAATACACATTTCCTGGTATTCTTTCCCTCTTCCCTCCTCCCCCTCCCACCCTTTTTTCCTTCCAGTTTTCTTTTGGAAATCAAAGCTCTAAGTCAATTTTTTTGTTCATCAGTTTTATCTCCAGTCAGGGATGTGGCTGTCTTCAAATGTCTTTTGCTTAAAGCAAACAGCAGCCAACCAAGGCAACTAATACCTCTGTGGAAAAGTGACTGTAGTAACTTCATTTCCACATGATATAGGCAGATAGCTTTAAGAAGCTGAAGGAAGAATTGAAGCTTTTGAAATGAGAAAGTAATACATTATTGTCAGGAAACAGCTACTATTGCACCTTCAGGCAAATATTTTTGATACATTTGAAAAGCACTTTAAATTGTATGTATTGCATTTTAATTGTATTTATTTATTTATTGTTATTACTTTATATATATTATTTATATTTATTTAATATATCTATTTGAATATATTCTATGATTATAGATTTATAGATTCATAGATGTTAGGGTCGGAAGGGACCTCAATAGATCATCGAGTCCGACCCCCTGCATAGGCAGGGAAGAGGGGTGGGGCTAGATGACCCCAGCTAGATGCATATCCAACCTCCTCTTGAAGACCCCCAGGGTAAGGGAGAGCACCACCTCCCTTGGGAGCCCGTTCCAGACCTTGGCCACTGTAACTGTGAAGAAGTTCTTCCTAATGTCCAGTCTAAATCTGCTGTCTGCTAGCTTGTGGCCATTATTTCTTGTGACCCCTGGGGGGCAATCAGTGGGGCAGGGGAGTGGGGTTGTTTTGTTTTGTTTTGTTTTAATTTCCTTCCATATAGTTATGTATTTTATGAGAAAATAAAGGTCTGGCTAAATCACTACTTGGATAGAGGACCTCTAAGAGAAATACTGTTGTTGCAAAAAGTCATAAATGGGTGAGTCAGCAGATAGCACATTCCTATATAGAAACAGAGACACCCCGATGGAGGTGCTGTAGTTCATATGAAAATTGCTATAATTCAACTGGCAGGTGGGTGATACTTATAATCTGTGAAGCATTTTAGGATTCTTTGGGGACCACATATGATTAGCCATTTAGCTATAGTTTATTTATTGTAAAGCACCCAAGCACAGCATATTTTTTTAAACAATAATATATTATGCATATATTCAAGGATCATTCTACCAACCTCTTGTATACTTGCCAGAGGAACTGCCCTTTATCAGACAACAATGTAAACATTAAGTGATCTCTATTATTGATTAGTTTTCTTTGATATGCAGGATTACCAGAAATGATAATATTTCTAGGCTTTTATTTAAGCAAGAAATAAATCTGGAGAAGGACAAAGAAGAATTATTGAGCTAGATAGACAGGAACAGCTGCATGAAGTCATTCAGGATGGACTAGAGGAGAGAAGCAGGGAGTTAGTGGAATATTTAAAGCTAGACAGAAGGATATTATGGTAGATGAAACATATGATCAGTAATGACAAGAACTATAATGGTTGAGAAATGTGCATACTTGTGAGATTCTGCAGAGCTTTTAGTCAACACATCATGGTGATAGAAGTGTTAGACATGGCACGGAGATGAAAGGCTTGGAGAATCAGTTAGATTGTGAAGTTGGCAACAGCTGTGGAGTAGGAAAAAAACATAGAAAGTTCTAGAAGAAAGTTGAATTCACCTTGCCAGGTTAACTTTGAGTAGGTGCCTGGACATCTATAAGAAATTTCATCAGGTAAAGAGAGAGAGCTTATTATTGAAGCTGTGCTGTTGGAAGAAGTCATCCTGATATTGAACAGCAGGTTCTCATTTTGTGTGAGAGAGCATTTATAATAGGTAAGGACCAAGAAGATCAATGAAGAACTATATAGCTTCACTAAATTCTTAGATAAAAGAATAAAATTCAGGGGCTCACCATTACTTCCTACAATACCACAGAAAAGCTTTCTTTGGAAGTCTGCAGTCCAATTATTGAAGAGGCCTATTGCTACTTAGAATAAGAGATCTACCTGGGATTGCAGATCTCAAGTCTGAGGAGGTTCTGTTGTGGGTATATCACTATGATTTTCCAAAGTTGAAAAAGCTATTCAGAATATTTTTTTCTTCAAAAACATTTTCATTTATATCATAAATACGTATGTGTTCTATGCTGAAAATGTTTCAAAGTGGTTTCTGTTTGTAATGTTTGACAATGATCAATTTGTGTTTTCTCCTTCCCCTTCCCCTGCCTTTTTATGTTGAGTGGTTTCTTGTTTATGGGGTCTTTGTTGTTTTGTTTTTTCCCACTTAGTAAAAACTAATATTTGGTGTTTGTAGTTAGGAAATGTTAGCCTTTCCTGGCTTTTCTACCCCTCAGATACTTTCAGAACTTTCTCAAATTTGTAACATTTAGATTGTAAGAATTAGTATTTTATTTTTGTATTTGTGGCTCTCTCACCCACCTCAAGTTTTGAAAATATTGAAAAAAAGTGGAAAAGTAAAACAAGAGAGAAAGGTAAAAGCAAAAAAAAAACAAACAATAATGCTACTAATAAAAAAAATTAAAAACACTGTTGCATCCAGTAACAGAAAAGAAATTGAAAATAAAAAAGAAAATTCAGTATATTTCTTTAGTTTGAAATTAAATGAACGTACAGTAAAAGTTTTGTTATTCGGCATCCCCCAGGAATGGGGGATGCTGGATAACAAAATGTGCCGGTTAATTGAGCGGCCCTGGCCGCTGCTTCTCCTGCCGCATCTGGGGTGTCCCTCTGCCCCTACCACAGCATCCCCGCCCCTCCCGCTGCATTGCTGCCCCTCCTGCGGGCCCTGCAGGCCCCACAGGACAGGCAGGTGGGCCCTGCACAGCTCGATGCAGCCTGTTATGCCTCCAGGCCATGGGAGCTTGAGAGCGCAGGTTGCTTTGTCCCAGGCCATGGGGGCTCTGGGAAACCAGAAGTGCCGAGGTGGGCACTTTCAGGTTCACTTTATTTTACAAGTCAGCATGCCAGTTAATTGAGCATGCCAGCTTGCAAGATGCTGGATAGCGCAGCTTTAACTGTACTTATTTTGAAACTGGCATTTTCCTATGAAAAATGGTTTTGATGAAACCCCATCTTTCATCAGAAAAATCTCAGTAAAAACAGGACCTGCTTTTACAGATATATTTTATATGTATTTATTTCCTAGCAGTAACTTCTCTATGATGTTTCTAAAATTAAACAGAAAGACATGTACAGGATATTTATATGGAGAGACACAATTTTTAAGGAAGTGTGCATATATTTGTTTCTTTCTTTCATAAAAATACTTGGTTTTGGTTCATTTGATTTGCACGTTCATTGAGTTCTATGGTATTTGTAACACACAAGTAAGGTTTTTAAGCTGACATTGTTTCTGTGGATAGCTGTATCACAACACCGCATTTCTTCTGTTCTTTTTCTGCAGTTAATACAAACCATAAGTGCAGTAGACAAAGATGACCCCCTTGGAGGACAAAAATTTTTCTTCAGTTTAGCTGCTGTTAACTCAAACTTCACTGTTCAGGATAACGAAGGTAAAATATATCTAACCCTGGGGCATGAGATTTACCTTTAATTTATTTTATATGAGCATAGTTTGAATATATTCCTGAAATACCTGAACACTTATTTGTAACAGGAAGAAGGGAAAGGGACCTAATGAACTACTTAACTGCATTACATAAAACAAACAAAAGTAATATTACTCTTGAATTATCAATAAACCTTACTGTGTCATGATCCTAGTATTGCTTTGTCTTGATCAGCATTTTACATTCATGGTATATAGTATGTGGAAAAAATTAGGCATCGTTACAGCTTATGTTATTGTTTACAAAAATCAATGCTGGCAGTGGGTAATATTATGAAAAATACTTTAAAAGCCCTAAATGGCAAGTTTACTCTGAAAAGTAAATCTGCTCTTGGATTTGCATGCTTTGTGGCCAAGCTAAACATAACTCTACCAAATCGCCATATTTTAGGGATGACTGCAAATCAAATCTCAAGGAAATCAAAAGAGTATGTCTAAACTACACTATCCAAAATGAAGTATAGTTTGCATCTGAAGCAAAATGGCTGATTGTTGAATGGTTCTTTTTTTTTATTATTTCTGTTGCTAGAACAAGCAAGATTGCCAGTTTCCCAAAGGCAAGACACAGAACTTCCACTTCCTTTTTTAGCACTTGAAGTCTTTGGTAGACTTTTATTATTTGTATTATAATAGTCCCTAAGAACCCAGTCATTGACCAGGGATGAACAGCAGTAGGCATTGTAGAAGCAAACAGGCTTGCCTCAAGAAGCTCATAATCAAATTGTAAGAAATGAGGCAACATAAGACAACGCAAGGGAGAACACAGAGTAGCCAAACAGATCCCAAGATTTCACCTTTGAAATCCCAACTGTTATATAATTGACACAGCTTTGAGGGATTAGGCTCACAATTACCACTGAAATTAAAATCTACTTAGGTGACTTCTAAAACCTGATACCTTTGGTCTTTCCAGGGCAGGAAGCAGTTTTCATCTCTTATTAGGATTCTATGCATCTCTTTCTGTCTAACAATATAAAAATATTTATGATTCTCTTAGGCCACAAAGCATTTGGTCTTTTTGTTTGAAGATGCTCAGATATGGAATGTTAAACGGAGCACAGTGGAGGTAGATTAAGAGGGAGAAAATGAGATCACTGAAGGTTCAAGATAAATGCTATCTGTTGCTTTCATATAATCATTTAAATAATCTGTCCACATAATTTGTTCATCACTAACAGAATATAAATTTACTGAAGTCATATAAGAGACCCACCTGAAGTCACTAAAGCTTATTATTTATGTATACACATTCAAGAACAAATCACATTTCATCTTTTCTTTCATTAAATTGCTTATTTGGAAAAGAAAAACAACTTGTGTTCTACAGAGGTGGTTTTTGGAGAAAATGGTGACAGAGTCAATTCAGAACATAGGTTTGAGGTGGACAAATACACACACAGAAAGAGTAAAAGTTGTAAGTGTCTCGATCTGCGCAATAATTCATTTAAATAAGTCTTGGTTTATCTAATCAGTCACCTTAATCTGTCCTTAAAAATAACTTAGATGCAAAAGAAAAAAAAGTCTTCCTAGGTTTTTGTGTCTGAAGCTTCCCACACTGGTCAGCTTCCACTATTGAGATGTTCTTCAAGATGTGGGTTTGGGGTAGAAATATAATGTCTTACAGAGAGGATCAGGGGCAACTTTAGAAAATAGATTTCCCTCTGAGATTCCTCACTGGAGACCTGTTTTTCATGGTTCTGATCTTCCCAGGCTTCTTTTTCTGTTCCTTTGTAATGATGAATGGGGCTGTTGCTTTGGGTGTGTCCACACATGCAAGCACGTGTGCTTGCAGCAGCTCAAATAGAAGCGGTGCAAATCTGAGCCGGGGCTTTTTACCTCAGTCCATGTGCACAGACATGCACTTTGTTGTGGAGCAAATTGTGCCACTTGGGGCAAAATAACCCTACCGGGCTCCTCCTGGATCTACAGCCAGGGAAACACCTGTGCTGGTCCCAGCAACATACAGCCAGGGAAACACCTGTGCTGGTCCCAACAACATAAAACCCTGCCCTAGCCAGCAGCTCAGGGCTAGTTGCTCTCAGGAGCTTCTGAGGGAGAAGCATCTGGGAGAAAGTTGGCCACACCCCTTCCTGTCCCAGGTTGCTGCTGCTGCAAGCTTGGTCTCAGGAGCTTCTGGGGAGAAGATTGCCAGACACCTTCCTGCCTCTGGCTACTGCTAGGTTCTGGCTTACTGTCTGAGCTTTTCGGGGTAAATTGGCCTCACCCCTTCCTGCCTTGGGCTGCTGCTGTTGCTGTTGCTGCCCGCTATGGGGGGGGTCCTCTACTGCACACTGGAAGCCACTGCTCCCCCTCAGGGGGCACACTGCACTGCACCCCAGCAATGCACCCCAGCTTCTGCACTCTGCCAAGCCGCAGTTTGGGGACAGCCTGGGGAGGGAGTCTACACTGTCTGTGGACCCCTCCCCCACCATCACTGCCAAAGCCTAAAGATGCCTTGCCTGCCACAGCTGCCTTGGCAGGGCACCCCGGCCTTCACCCCCACTTTCACCTGAAGCACATCCTGAGTGGCTGAACTGGACGGCTGCTACTGCTGTTGATGCTATTGCTTCTGTCTGTTCTGCTGCTGCCCCCTCTGAGGAAAGAGGGAGATTCGCTGCTTCACCACCCTGCTACACTCAACACCAAACCTGAATTGGATTGCTCCCTAATTGACTGATTCTCCTGCCCTCCCCTTCCCCACAGCTGCCTCACTGCATCTGTTCCTGCTTTGTTTTCCTGCCTATTGCTCTGCTGTTGAGTGCCCAACTGGAGGCCTGAGGGGCTCCTGAACTGATCTTCAACAAACAAACCCCCTCTACCACTCCAGCCATCTCTTACATTCACCTCAGCAGCCTTCCCTGTGTGCTTTTGCCCTTGTGTGGTAGGTCCTGTGGTCCATTCCCCTTGCCCTGGTGTTTGTTGTGTGGCTGAGTAAGCCAGCTCAGGTCTCCCCAGCCCTTGTGTGTGTGTGGTTTTTTTTCCCCCCATTCCCCATGCATAGCCCTCCCAGGTTTTTTTTTTTTTCCCCCTGTGGAGCTGTAGCTCTGTGAGCTTTACCCCTCCCCCCCCCACCTCCCTGCCCCACTGTATATTTTGGGTTCCTTTATTGTTTTCCCCTCTGTCATACGAAGCAATGGCAGGCCAGGAACCTTTTGGGGGGACAGATAGACCTTCCTGCAACTCCCACTATGGAGGCAGATCCCAGCCAAGCCCCCAAGGGGATGCATGCCATTGCAATCCCCACCCTGAAGGTAGAGCCCAACCAACCTCCTCTGGGGTAGAAAAACCTGCAACCTCTGCTGCAGGGGCAGATGGGACTCTGGCAGGAAGCCAACAGGGCCAGGGGGTCTCCTCTGGCCAGGCCTCCTAGGAGGGGGTCTCAAGCCCCATCCCCCACCATCAAGAACCAAGGACAAGGGCAGTAGGAAGGGCTTCTCTTCAGCCTTGTCCACAGCTGGGGGTGGGAAGGGCAAGGGATCTGCCCCAAGCCTATACCCCGGTGCCTGAGGGGACCAGGTGTGCTACATCAGCTAGCACATTCAGTCTGTCCCTGGCCCTAGCCCCAGCCCCATCAATGTGGCCCCCTCAGTGGAGAAACCACAGCTATACATAGGCGGCTATGAGGTGACCTGAAGCTGCACCACCACCAGTCCTTCCAACTTGGGCAGCAGGGCCCCCTTTCCAGCACTCAACTACAGGCATGGGGTGAAGTGCCAACTGCCCAAGCAGGAGAACCTGCACTTTGAGACCTGGGTGCACACCCTGGCTCATGTAGTGGGGGCCCCCAATATAATGACAAGGGGGTCTTTTTCCTTGCCTTGGAGATGGCCGCACAAAAGGCGGTGGAGAGGGGGCTTGTGATGGAGGGTGAGTACGTCCCCCTCAAGCCCCTAGAAGAGCTGGGAAGCAGGGTGGTCCTCAGCTATGTGCCTCATTTTATCCCTAATTTAGCCTTGCTCCCCTAGCTCCAAACCCTGGGGAAATTTATCTCCCCAGTGGTGGCCCTCTTGCTGGGGTGCCAAGACCTTGGCCTCCACCACATGCGCTCTTTCTGTCACCAGGTTATGATCCAGGTGGCAGTGGGAATGCAGCTGGAAGCTGAGGGTTACCTTGTGTTTCCTTTTCAAGGGGCCCTGGTGAGGGTTTTCAATACACTGGCGGACCTGCGGTGCTTCTGGTGCTGCGCCCTGGGGCACTTGTATCACAAGTGCCCTATGGGCCAGGAGGAGAGGGCATCTGCAGGTCCCATTGTCAAGATGGGTGCCCCTGCCACTGGTACCCCTCCCCCTTCAGGCCCCCCTGGCACCCTGGCCACATCATCCAGTCCCATTGTGAGCTCAGTGGACTCTGCCCCCAAACCAAGTTTGGTGGGATCCTGGGGAGGGTAGCAGCAGCCAAAGGGATAGTGGGAGTGGGGGCCCCTTGCCCCTAGTCATGCTCCCACTGTAGCTGCCCTACCTCCCAACCCTCACCTTCTCCTACTGAAGCCTATCCACCTGAGGACCACCCCATGGTTCAGTGGGTGCAGGTCCCCTCTGGGCACAAAGCCAAGAGGAAGGTCCAGGTGCAGTTGGAGCCCTCTGACATGGAAGACTCCTCTCCTCACTTCCCAAGACCACCACACAGGGGAGAGGATCAGCCTAGCTCCTAGGGGCCTCCCCCACTGCACCCAAAACCTCACCCCCTGGAAATGTCAAACATGTGAACCCCATGGAGGAGGTTTTGGGGCTGCTGGACAGTCCTAAACAGAAGCCCATGGATGAAGCCCTTCATTCTGCAGGCCAGGGTCTACCCCCTGAGACCATGGGTGCTGAAGCAAAGGAAGGTCCCGCAACAGAGCCCCCTGCCCCCCAATGAGCTGGGGCAGATGGGGGCCTTGGGGATTACCCTGATGAGCCCTGAGGAGGGAGGTCCCCTTTCCTGAACCCCAAGGCAGACACCAAA